GGGGGAGGAACATCAAAGTGACAAAAAGTCGAGAAAGGGGAACAGAATAATGAATCACAGATGTAAAAGAGGCAGGCAGACACAAAGGCGGAGAAAAGGAAAGATGAGTACTGTGAAAGTGGTCGAATATGACATACAGCCGTATGTGCATACATTGACCAGGATGCATCACGTGGAGGCAAGGCCATCGTACAACCCCTTATCTATAATATGAACGAGAGAAAGTTACGTAAAGAAATAGCCTGTTAGCGAACAAAATTTTGGCTTCGAAACTCTAAATTATTTCTACTTAGCTCAAGAGAATGTGTTCAGGCCTATTCGGGAATAAATAATAGTAATAAAATTTAATTTCTGTTTTTAGGTAAAAGCCCACACATACTTCCTCCTGTTTCGCTTCTTTCTCAATTTTTTTTAAAATGTATCTTTTTTACATTCGTAATTGTGCAAGAAATGTGGTTAGTAAAAAAGGGGCCTTGCGATAGTAAATATGTGAGCTAAACGTTCACCAATAAAATCTAACTCATCATTTCACAATAATTTATGAAAATAATTTTCATTATCGCAAACTGGTTCATTTAATGATTGTTTAGGATCAATAGAGCAATTTCATTATGGAAACTAAATGAATTTCGACAATATTCAGAAAGATTTAATAGATCTAAATATATTGTGTGGGACATGTCATTGCGTGATCGCATGCACGCACAACCAACAACCAGTCAGATGCCTGCGTTTGTTTAAGCGGATCCGCCATTTTGATTATGAATAACAGCCCGGCGAGACACTTTATTCACAGTATACTCCCTGAATAGAAGTGTTTCGTGCTATGTGTCTGTTTCCTCTATAGCTGAGATGTGGAATAGCTAGTTCTGGTTGTTTAACTAGATATGTGAGATTCTGCCATCGAGATTTCAGAGTCAGTCAAAGCTTAACTAATGTAGCAATCCGCTGCGAATTTGTGACCTTGACGGAATTTCCGTAAGGTCAGGATCTGACCTTTGTTCGCTAGCTAGGACTTGCAGATTGAGAGCGGTATGACGATTTGATTCAATTTCATACGGAACAATGCGTCGATAAGTCGTATATCATTGGTGAATTGCGAAATGAAATTGAAATGTTGGGTTTCTCTTGAGAGTGTTGATCTGCCGTGTCCCGAAAGGCATAAATTAAGGGTTTATAGTCAGCAAAAAGTTAAATTGGCGTCCATTTTTGAATGCACTGAACGTCGTAGTCAAACTACTACAATTTTCAACGTTTCAAAAAATTTTTATTGATCAGTGTAAATAATAATTAATAAATGTATCATTGTGGAAAAAGTAGTGGGCATTCCAATGGACAAAGTATTTAGATCAATACAATTAAACCACTCAAAAACTTCTACGCTTTGATCAGTCATGGTGATAGAAAATCTAACCTAATGCTCTTCCTTTGTGATTTGTAAACATTTATCAATTTGTAGGTAATTTCTTAATTACAGTCTTTTTCAAAGTGCAAGTTATAGTTGTCACTAAAGGTGCAATCACCTTATTATTGACCAATATATTCAAGGCTTGTTAGGAAGCAATCCGCCTCAAATTGCACCCCCCATCTCTCTCGCAAGGTGTCAAATGCTGTTCACTAGAGTTGGACGAAGTGCGGGATTGAAGAATTTGGTCTTTCTGGCAAATAAACTGCTAAGAACGTTAAAATATTTCAACTTCTAAAAGAGCTTAGGAATAATTAGGACATCTTAAATTGGAGCTTTAATCTTAGGTACATACGTTGTACCTAAAGCCTATTTAGTTTCATTGATAGAGTAGAAGAACTTTTGTAATTCGGTACTGGCGTTGCACTTAGAAGTAATTATCTAAGATTTTTCACGTTCAGGAGTTATTTAATTGAATTACAAATCACAGTTATGAATTAAAATAAAACTATCACGTTAAATCCTTTCTTAGTTACATTTGCCCGCTTGGACATGTTTATTTTATTACTCACCTTATTAGCAAAGAAAAGGGACTTAAAGCCATCTAATCAATATTTCATAATTGATGGTGATTTGATTTGTATACCGATTTTTGGACTTAGTCTGCGTAGGCTTGCCTCGGCGTTTATGGTCAGGTCAAATCTAAACATTATTTATTGTTGCTAAGGATTTTATTAAAAATATAAAAATCAGTAAATGATTTTATACCAGTTGAAAATTACTATTATGTGCAAATTACACACATATTCGAGCATAAGGATTCTGTTAATTTATTCGATTATGGTAGCATTATCTTGTTATTAAGGTACATTATATTTGCCTTTCTAGGTTTCTAATCGCTCAAATGGGATTATTAAACTGTCGCATTGTTCACTTTGAGTTTATTTTGTGATCTGAGACGAAATATGGAACTTAAATTTTAGAGTTTAAGCCAATCATGAAGTGAATTTGCTCAACTTGAATCAAAAATTAAATGGACTCAATGATTGACCTAAAACTTCTTACATACCGTCATCACTAAAATTTTATTGTTTTCTTCCGACTAATCAATATCTGTTCAAATTCTACAATAAAAAAATGAGCATTTGCAATTTACCTTGCATCATTATTTGATATTTCGTTTTGAATCTAAACTTTAATCTATTGTAGTGTACGTTGTTATCAGAGCATACATACCCGTAGTGCAAGAGATTTTGATTTGATGAAATTCCATTGTTGAAAAAGTAAAGTGGCTAAGGTTATGGTCTCAGTTAACAGACAATGTAATAAAATTCAAAACTGAGGTTAGATTTAAAACCTCAGCTATAATTTAACAAATATCGGCAGCTGATCGATTTCGTTATCGAGTATTGCTCTGTTTTATCCATTTTGGCTAGCACCATAGTGAATTCTAAATGTGCGCATTTGTATACTTTATAATTTTCAAAAATATAACGTGATGACAATTTATAATGATATCAACACTTTAATGAATTGAAATGATAAATTTCCTTTTAATAACCTTACATTAACCTACAATAAATTGATTATACAAAAACTTAATGAACGTTCAAAATATGTTATAGGTTCATGCAATATCTTTTATTTTATTTATTTGCTTCCCTTATGACTAATGAAAACATTTTGCTGTTTCATTGGGCTAATTTGACTTACGTCAGTAAAGGTGGGTTTTTTAACGATGAGGCCATCCGACGCCCTGGGGTTTTTGTATGCTTTGTCTTCCTTTTGTGTAAGTTATTTGTATAAAGTCCAATTCTTTCAGCTAAGTGTTGTCTCAGTCAGTGATACATGTAAAAAGGCCGGTTACACTGGTGAACTATCATGTGGTTCCTGCAAAGAATTGAGCCTATTCGGTCTCAATCAACTAAGGGAATCGTGTCTAGCTTGTTGTGATGGTGTCAAAGGCGCTGCTGCTCTCAAGGTGGGGGTAAAATTTTATCCTTATTTTGCCTAGAAATATTCCTTTGGCGCTATAGTATCGTGTGGATGATCTTTAAGAGCGTTTCCACAAGTGAAAGGTAATATAGATATCCTGACCCTTTTCACCTTCTTTGTGTTTTTGCTCTTAACGATGCGCGTTTGTTTTTTTCTAGCATTTGTGGAAAAGATTAAAGATCATTCGAACATCAGATTTATCCCTAAACGAGGTCATCCCCCAACAGCAATTTTGCTGAATGAAGAAGATGGTGAACCGCAAGAATCATTCTCCATCGATTCTTGGGACACCGACACTATTGAGGAGTTCTTCCGGGAACGCCTCGTCTAACTCTATCGGCACGGCAGTTTAGATCCTATGACGATGTTCAATGAAAGCCCTGCGTTGTACATCTGATGCTCTCATAACTGCTGTTACGATAGACCCGCTAGCCGTTTGTATTTAAGTTGATTTCTATATTTCTCAATGAATATAATTTAATCAAACTTCCGGCACATTCCTTACGTACTAGCCTGAGGAGTGCTACTGAATACGATTTAAATAGTGCTTGACGGAATGGAACAAAACAACTCATGAAAAATTAATTTAGCTTGTATTTACTCAGTCAAAGGGGGGGGGAGGAGGAATCACTGTTTTCGAGTCTTATTTCACATGAGGGAGTATGGAACAGAGCATCCTAAGGTTAGGGGCAGGAGGCAAACTGGAACTTTATTTGCGGCGGGCATTGTCAAGATAATAGTGGGAGTTGTTAGCTGGTTGATATAGTACTTATATAATTATGTACACAAATTGACACGAGGGAAAAAAGGTGGAGAAAAAAGAAGAGCGGAGCGGCCTTCACTCGCTTGACTTAGAAAAATAGTCACACAGAGGGGTGTGCGCAAGAAAGAAGAAGTGGGGGAGAACAAAGCGATTCAGTCAGTTAAAACCAAAAATGCGCAAAGGATGACCACAAAATGAGAAAAGGGAGAGATCATAGAGGAGGGCGAGAAAGAAGACATCAGATTTGTGTCCGGGAGTTTAAAAGATCAGTTCTCACAATTTTGATCCAAATAATCACCGATTTTCTGGCAGATATACTCGAATGCCGGTCTCTTATTTCGATCCTAAAATAAATAATGATTATATTTCCGTTATAGTTCAGTCACATGTGTAATAAATTAAAATCTGCTAAGGTCATTGCAAGATACGTTTAATAGGAACATCAATTTATCAAAGACTAATCTATTCTATTTGTCGTAATGCCCAATTTTGACGAATTAAAATACGGTTTTCAATATTTTTACGCCCAATAACAATTCCATTATCTTGCAGATGTAAGTTCAATATTAACTAATTGAAATTATTTAAAGTGATTTTAGGCAATAATGTAGAAACAAATTCATTAGCACGTGTTGTAAGTCCAATATTGACTAAACAAAGTAAGGCCATTTATTAGGCCCAATTGAATGGCACACAGTCTTCCATTGGGAGATTAAAGCGCTCTAACTTACGTGTTGCCAGCATTCAAGCATGAGCACATAGATTCGATCCGGGCACACAGCGGGTTTGTGAAGGCGTCCACCTCCAACAATGAATTGATAGACCTGTGAATTGTTCATTCCATGATATGGATTCTCCATACAACAAGTAAATACTTCCCACATCAAAACACCTGAAACTCATAAAACAGAACGTTTTCAGGCTGCTTAGACGGCCATATATATATAAAAGCACGTACAAGCATGATTATTCCAGTATTTACGATGAAAGGGCCTATAGCAGCTTCTCAGTTGTTTTCATGCACAGTTAGCTTAGCTATTAAAATTTCCAGAGCGACTAGGCTTTGCTGTGTGAATGAGCAAAAATTAATTAGATTAAGGAGGGGGTGGGGGCTGCCTGTGAGATAAAACTGCAACACGGTCCACAACACTGTCACTACAAGTGCAATCATCAATTGTATCTATAAATAATACTGGAGAGAGAAAATTTGGCAAATGCTACTCTCGCATACGACAAAGGATTAAACTCGTGCGTTATCCTATTGCAATAAGGTCAAATATTAAACCATATTGAATGAAACAAAGATTGCGTGATTTGACTGATGAACAAAAACAAAAAAAATGATTAAACTTTAATTGTGGCTATACTTTGAAAAAATTCATGAATGACAATTAAATTGTGAAAATAATGCCCTGATTACGAAAGATTCGATTAAGTAAGGAAACGAACACTATCCACTCTTCAATAAAAGCTAGGCTTATCGAAAGAAATTTAGGAACTTGAAGAGGAGATACGAAGTAGTGCATACGATAAAAAAAGAATAAAACCGATATGGGGTCTATTACGGGAAAATCACCATTTTATCGTAATTGTCGCTTTATTTTGCTTAGAATTCAATTCTTGCTGACATTTATCCCTAATATTGTTAGAAGGAGACATGGGGTGATAAAAGTCTCTCCTTGTAGACGGTTGAATTTCTGCCTAAGAAATGCGCTTTAAGACAAGACATACTTAGACAATAACTGGATACGCCACATTACAATACCACAACAATGCGTGATGTTGAGCAATTTTGGAATGCAATAACTCCTTATTCACACAACCCCCCGCCCCACAACACCCCTAGAAATCACACAAGAATTCAAACTAAAAATTCGCCAATGTAAAACATATGTAAGAATGGGTTGCTTTTTAAAAAATAAATATCCTACGTATATCGCGCCTAGGTGACATAAGGCCATCTTTGAGAATAAAAACGGAGTTAAGGAAAGGAGGAAACGAATTTATAAAAGGTGCATCGGCAAATTCCACGAAGTTTTCATCCTGTGCATCTTTTACGGCAATTATTGTCTTTGGTGTGAACTTTATACTGCCTCCATTATCAAGTAGATAGCAAATCTGCAACCTCCAATGCACCAATAAAAATGTCAAAAAATGTCAACAAGGCCAACTGTTTCCCACATGCGCGTTGCAACTTTAGATACCACCACCTCCCCGGGGTCATTTGTAGTTCATAAGGCGATTTAACTACCCTCTTGAAATGTACTTTACCTTCAAATCAGTTCAGTAGGTTACTGGCGGGTTCAGCGGTAACTAATTTGACAGCACAATTTAGTTATACCTAGACCTGACTAAACCAAACGCGAAGGTATAAAATATAAATAAATATAAATATATAAATATATATATATATATGATGACTCTTATGACAAATATCTAAAAGGGAATCCTACCAATGACTAAATAATCATAATCATAATAAATTAAATTTGCATTCTTCCATGAAGCTATTCCCTTTCTAACCTTGACACAATTAAAACTCCTGTGTTGCCAATTGGAGATGAGTAAGTTGAAACATGAGACTGAGAAATGCGAAGATACTGGTCTTAATAAAGGAGAGAAACTTCGAAACTTCAGCATATCTCTGAAAAAGTATACGAGTCTTAAAATGATGTTGGTTAAAATGACAACTTCAAATGTAGCATATTATTCTTCAACAAGAAGAACGGTAATTCAATGAAAATATACAGTCCACATAGTCTGACAAACAAGAAAAATAACTCTTCGAAGATCTTGATAATAATGCCCAAAGAATTTCAAAGGGTGGTGAATGATTATGTGGAATGGAGCGTATTAATTAGAAAAAAGGCTTTTCAATTATCCTAGAACCACTGGAATAATTGGAGTGAGTTGGCTCACTCTATATCCAAACGGTTGTCATTCAACAGGAAGCTCATCTTAGAGCGAATAAGCAAACAAAACTTGAAGCTCCACATAGATGACTCACCGAAGCTCCACACATCAGCTTTGTCCGTGTAAACAGATTGGAAAACCTCGGGAGCAGCCCAGCGGACAGGGAATTTTGTGCCAGCGCTCGGTTCATAGACATTGTCCAGAAGGAATCGAGCCATACCAAAGTCGGCCACCTTGACCACAACAGAGTTACGCGATACCGATTTGACCAGACAATTTCGAGCAGCCAAATCACGATGGACAAATTGCTCCCTCTCCAAGTAGGCCATCCCGTTGCCCACTTGCGCACAAATGTCCGCCAGGACGACGGGTCGATTACAGAATTGAGACTGACGTTGGCGAAGAAAGTCTCGAAGAGAACCTAACAAAACGTAAAATGGGAAAGGGTTATGGCTAAGCTGAAAAGGCTTTGAATTCCAAATAGCACAAGTACTCGATTTCTTAATGTTTCAGCATCTATAGAAGACACCTTTGGTCAAAAAACGTTAAGCAACATACTTAATCAATGAAGAAGTAAGAAGAGCTTAGAAAAATAATTCTGACGCCGTTTTAATAAGGAAACATTGTTAATTGCTATCGTCACCTCCAGATACTAACTCTCCGGAAGGGTGAAAAAGCGATTAAAAGGTCCTTAACCGCTACCGGTCGAACGAGCAATGTAGAAGTTCAAGAAAAAGCCAATATAGCCCGATTCCAGTGTTACCTCATCTTATTCAGACTCCGACTTAATTACTTCCAGTAATTAAGCTGAAAATGCTGTATCGTTGAGGCACAATGCCAAACAGTAATACCCTCTAGTAAACAAACTAAATCAGGAGATCAAATTAGTCCAAAATAGCACCGTAGATAGATATCTTCGCAACAGCCATACAATTAGACTACGCACATTGAAGGGCGTTTGGGCGGTTTTAAAATGAGGCAGAAGATATATGCGATGGCAGTAAAACAGGCCGTAATGAGCAATACGGAAGGGAACCTAAGAACTATGCGGAGATGGAATATACATATATATAAGAGGAGAGGCAGAACTATTTTTAGACCTCTGTGTGTGAAACAAGCCTCCTGCTAAGAAGTAGTTTACCTTAACCATCAGCCATACGTCCAAAGGCATTGACCACGACAAGAGGACGCATCAGTAAGATTGAGTGAGGAGGAGGAGGGTAAATGGAGCTTATGAAAACATTACCAGAGGAAAAAAGTTCCTCATCTTTCAGATGGGAATGGTGAGCGATTTTCCCAAAACAAACTCATTATACTAGTTTGAGAGGGCAAGTAATGAATAGGGTGGAAACTTGCAGTGATTATAAATTGTCAAATCGATTTCAATCTAGTGGGAGATAGTTGACACTACCAACAGCTTTCCATAAGTGCACAAGTTAATTAATGATTACCCTGAAACAGGGATGATTGAGCGTGGGAAGAAACAACTGCGTACATTTTGATCAGTAAACAGAAGTGAGTTTCAGGACACATTTGAAACAGTTAAAACAATATGAATGATTTGACTTATTTCCTTCGATTTTACACTGATCTATATTATATCCTACATACGTACCTATTAATTAAAATGAAATAATGATATTAAATAGGACATTCCTTTAATCCTAAAGCTAAGTCGAAATTTTGGACAACATGAAGAGCTGACCTGCCAATTTATAATTGGGTTAAAGGGCGAGATGGTGGGATTTTCATTTAAGTAAAACGGTGACTGGGGCGGGCGGTGGGAGGGGGGTTAAGTAATAAATTGATTCCCGCCGAATGCCAAAAAGAAATTTCGTTCGATTAAAGTGCAAAAGCATATGTCAAAAAGAGAAAGGGAAGACAGCTATAGGCAGGTGAAACTGATAAACTATAAGCAATTGGTTAAGAAAACGTAAAAGCAAGACCATATAGGCTAAAAACTATTGGAGAAATGATTGAGAGATGAAGAAAATATTTGCTAAATAGGAACGAGTCCGATTTTTAATGAAAAAAAGATAAGGAAAGTACTGAGGGACAACGAGTTCATTAGGCCATTAAATGGGAAGGCCAATTGCAAGTAGGCGTATTTGCGAATTAAACTTAAACTTTTGTGAATGGCATCCTGCAGATAGCAAACCCATCCCATCTGCTGAATAAGACCAAATTGGCCGAGTTTTAAATACCAAGAAAAACTCAATGAAACGGAATTAACGACTGTGCTTCGTATATGTGCATTTTAAAAGAGGCAACTAAACCACAATTCACTAAACACATCAGGATGTACCATAAATGGAAGACGGTAATTGCATAAAATGGTAGCAGTTAGTTGAGTAAATTACTTGGGTGACAATATGTAACAAATCGTTGCTTCAATAACGAAGCCGCTATGGGAAATGAATCAGCGATTCAGAATAAAACGAAAACATGACGAAGTGGTTTACTCAAGCAGATCACAGATAAGGCAGCATGGCTAGGCAGAAAGGCAGAGACATTGGAGTGAGAAAGGGTAATAATTTCGAGATGATAGACAAGTTATAAAAAAGAGACCTCAAAACACAATAGACTCCTACATGGAGACCCTACGAATGAATAAATATGACTATATAAATATGACGATATAAATACGCCAATAAACGATCATTAGCACAAATCGTTTTGGAAATGAACCAAGAAACGGAAACAAATTCCAATCAGACAATCAACAAAGAATTCATTACAGTGAGTTGTAATAGCCAATCTGTGTTATCACAACATTGTGTTAATCTTCGAATCGGAATGAAACGATTAATTCATAAATGAAATCGTCGGCAGGACTTATCCGACAATAAGAAACAACAGCTTATCCTTTAAACAAATAGAGCGTTTTACCTTCTCAAACAGAGCGAAACGCAACAATACCCCTGGAAATGCCATGGAGTTATCAAAGGACCATGAAATAAAGTCATTGTTAGCAATAAGATATAAGCAAAGTCAGATGTGGCACAATACAAACACGGAATTTCGTTCTACCTAACGTCCGAATTATAAGTTAATAGTTCCCCCTAAGCTAATATGAAGTAAGTCGATTATGAATTACCAGTACAGTTAGAAGAAATGCTAATCAGCGCAACTTACAATCGGTAAAATCCACATTCCACGATTTAGTAATTTGAAGTGAATTAAAGGCGAAAAAAATGTTTACAGAGTTTTAAGACCTTCCAGTTTCGATGCCAACAAAGCGGAATGAGCTTAGAAACATACATATTACGCCAATCAAGATGTGGCGCTGATAGTTACATTTTTTCATTAGAGCAATAAATTTCACCTAGTGGGCCAATGGGGAAGCGGTATTGTACACCTGTGAAACCGAAACACCATGGAGGGACGCTCATTCGATACTAGTAGACGGTAAGACCAACAGCATCGATTTTAATCGTCGTAAAATGAGTGGCGGCGAGATGTAAGCTTTCAATTTGAAATATAAAAAATACGAGTTCTCTAAAATATGCGCTTGGAACGTACCTTACACCAAGAGAACTACTTTAACCACGAACGACCGTCGCTTTTAGCTATTTGACGAATGAATGCGCATTAAACGTGGCCTGAATTTGATCTTCTACACATTCAATGAAACTTGATACGTCAACTGGAAGAACCCTAATAAAATGAAGAGCACAAATATTCATAAGAACACGGTTCTAATTTGAGGAACAACTTAGAAATAACACTAAAACGATGTCACACGATTAGTAAATGTAGAAGACGTCGACAGAGTATGGAACTGGCAATGAATGTAAGAAGTTTGATGTATGAGTCGTTATAATAATGAATCACAGTTTCGTCAGAGTTCTGAAGTCAATTCAGAAGAGGAAAGTTAAAATGCAAATACAAAATAACAATAATCAGATACAAAGGGTTCATAAATCAACGTAGTTTGTGCATCACTAACAACAGCAGTCTATATGCTCGAAACAAGGAGGTTTCAATGTGATGAAAACTCAAGGTATCCCTTTAAACAAAATATTTGTTTGCAATAAAAATCAATCCAAATCACTCAGTACAAATAGCGCCTCCATTTATCAATAGAATGCACAGTGTGTCAAAATTTAGCTCTCTCCATTCTTGCCACCGTAAGTGGTTTTTTTCACTTGAACTTCGTCAGACATCTATAACGCACACTCAGACATAAATTTACCTATTACCTAACAATAGGTCCCACTAGGAGATTCAGTGCATGACGGAGACTGGACGAATGCAAGAAGCGCGGTGGAGTGATTTATGGTCGAGATTAGTGATCGTTGCGCCCACGGCAGGTAAGAAAGAAAAAGACGCACATATACATCCACATCCATTGCTCCTAAATGTCGAGTGCATAATTCTGGCAATATTTATACCAAGGCTACATTAATAGCGAAGGCACTATATATGCATTTCTACTTTACTAATTATACTCGATCAAGAGGGAGAGCTGAGAAGGGTCAGAAGAAGTTCCATGATCCCGCCACATTTTTAAGACACTGAGGTGATTTATTTAAAAGATATTAAATTCATATTTGCACAGCACGATTCTCAAGTTTATTAAATTGGACAAAATAGATCTTAGCGAATAAGTTGATGAATCAGTTTACCAGAATTCAGTTAAGAACGTCAATACCGTGTAGCTGCATTGGAAATTATTGAGGAAAAAGCAATTCGGAGCCCATTTTTTATTTCTGTCCTTCACTGATTGAACCGGCAAAAAAGTCTATTAACTGGCAGTTGACTTCTGACTTCAAACTACCATCACCCCACTGTATGTCATATTCGAATACTTCCACAGTACTCACATCACCTTTTATCTACCTTTGTGTCTGTCTCTTGTACATCTTTGAAACGCTCTTGTTTCCCCCTCCCCCTCTCCACTTTTTTTTCACTTTGATGTTCCTTCCCCTCTGTGAAGCCTGAAGTCAACTAAAGGGCTAATGATAACTATCAAAACGCCTGCCATTTGATGTAACATCTGAAAGATATTAGTCCTAACGAGTCAGCTTTTAAGTGTCGCTGAG